TTTTAAATAAAAAATTAGGAATGAAATTAAATAAAGTTTAAATTATGTTTAATGTAAATTATTAGTTTACATTTTCTATAAGAAATGTATTTCCAATAAATTTACATTTTATAGAAAATTTTCTATAAATGTTCTTTATATAGAATAGAAAATTTTCCTTTAATTTTAATTTTTATAGAAAATTCTCCATAAATTTTCTTTTTAATAAAAAATTTTCATTTTTTATAGAAAATTTTCAAAAAATTTCCTTTTTTATAGAAAATTTTCAATAAATTTCCTTTTTTATAGAAAATTTTCAATAAATTTCCTTTTTATAGAAAATTTTCCACAAATTTTCTTTTATAGAGAATTTTCCACAAATTTTCTTTTATAGAAAATTTATCACAAATTTTCTTTTATAGAAAATTTATCACAAATTTTCTTTTATAGAAAATTTATCACAAATATTCTTTAAATTTTTCATAAATTTTCTTTTATAGAAAATTCATCACAAATTTTCTTTAAATTTTCCATAAATTTTCTTAAAATTTTCCATAAATTTTCTTTAAATTTTCTATTAATTTTCTTTTTTTATAGAAAATTTTCCATAAATGTTCTTTTTCATAGAAAATTTTCCATTAATTTTCTTTTTCGTATAAAATTTTTCATAAATTTTCATAAATATTATTTTTAAAAATAAATTTTCTTTTATAGAAAATTATCCATAAATTTTCTTTTATAGCAAATTATGCATAAATTTTCCTTTAAAGAAAATTGTCCATAAATTTTCTTTTATAGAAAATTTTCCACAAATTTTCTTTTATAGAAAATTTTCCACAAATTTTCTTTTATAGAAAATTTTCCACAAATTTTCTTTTATAGAGAATTTTCCACAAATTTTCTTTTATAGAAAATTTATCACAAATTTTCTTTAAATTTTCCATAAATTTTCTTTTATAGAAAATTTATCACAAATTTTCTTTAAATTTTCCATAAATTTTCTTTAAATTTTCCATTAATTTTCTTTTTTTATAGAAAATTTTCAATAAATGTTCTTTTTCATAGAAAATTTTCCATTAATTTTCTTTTTCATAGAAAATTTTTCATAAATTTTCATAAATATTATTTTTTATAGAAAATCTTCCATAAATTTTCTTTTAAAGAAAATTGTCCATAAATTTTCTCTTATAGAAAATTTTCCAAAGAACATTCTTTTATAGAAATTTTTCTTTTATAGAGAATTTTCCAGATTTTCCACAAATTTTCTCTTATAGAAAATTTTCCACAAATCTTATTTTATAGAAAATTTTCCACAAATGTTCTTTTATAGAAAATTTTCCACAAATGTTCTTTTATAGAAAATTTTCCACAAATGTTCTTTTATAGAAAATTTTCCACAATTTTTTTTATAGAATATTTTCAACAAATTATATTTTAATAGTATTCCTTTTATAGAAAATATTAGCTTAATTTTTCTTTTAAATAAATTTCTTGTCTTTTATTGAAATTTTTGTTTCAATTTATACTTTTATTAAAAATTTTTGATACATTTTCTTTTTATGTGAAATTTTCTAATTACATCCTTAGTTCATTTAAATAACTTCTTATCTCAATGGCTTTCTCATTTAAAGTTCTTTTCTATCTTCTAATAAATCAGTAATGCTCTTTTTGAAGTTTTTTCGTCTCAATTTTCAACAGAAAAACATATGAATTTCCACTCATATGTATATAAATTAGTGTAATATAACACATACAAACATCTCACTTTATGTAATCATATGTATATGTTTTTTAGTCTTTAGAGATTGTCTGAATTTGTTCCAATTGGTTTAGTACGAGTCGTAACAGTAATATAGGAAATAAACTAAAGCTATTACTCAACAAGAGTTTCCGCATATTTAAGTGAGTTGAGAATGTTTGTGTGAGTAAGTGTTTTAAGTGCATTATCTTTGAAATGTGTATGTGTGGGAATGAGTATATTTATGAGTCTCCATAAAAATCCCGTAGTACGGTATGTCGGTCCAGAAATGTTGTTTTACCCATCTTCAAATGAACAGTACGGGATATAAGGTATTCGCTATTTATTTTAATAGCAGAATACTTAGAAACGCTCTTCATACAATTTGAGACACTTAATTGAAGTAACACTCGCTCTAAATATATCTTAAATGAACTAAACTGCAAGCTCCAGTTTTTAAATATTTGAAAGGAAATGGTCAAAAGAGGATACACTGATACTTTCAATACTGCCAGAATATGTACATACGTTTCCATATTAGTCTACTCATTTATGTATGTATATCGTATATGTGCGTTAGTTTGTTAGCTTTGTATATATGTATGTATTTATAATCATCGTTTCCTTTGCTACTGTTGTTGATAGTTATAAGATCATGTTAAAGTATTTCAAACACACAAGATTATCTAACAAACACATATTTACGAAAGAAATAAAACTATGAAGAAATGAAAATTAGATGAAGCAAAACCAAAACTGTTTAAAGATAACTTTTTTTCGTAAAATCAGCATATTTGTAAAAACTGATGATGATGATGGAAAAGTAGATGGGTATATGCCATTAGTAGTGTTTGGGTTGACGATAATATGTTTAGCGTTAAGAAATTTATATTTAAAATGGAGCTAAAAAGAAATTGAAAACCCTTAAAAGAATTCTTTAAAAAATTACTGTTGTGAAATAAAACAGAACTAGAACTGAACTATAACTGAACTATAACTGAACTATAACTGAACTATAAACTGAGACTATACTGAACTAGAACTGAACTAGAACCGACTAGACCGAACTAGAACCGAACTAAAACCGAACTAGAACCGAACTAGAACCGAACTAGAACCGACTTAGAAACGAATTCAGAACCGAACCAGAACCGAACTAGAACCGAACTAGAACGAACGTACTAGACCGTACTAGACCGAACTAGAACCGAACTAAACCGAACTAGAAATCGAATAGACTGAACTAGAACTGAACTAGACTGAACTAGAACTGAACTAGAACTGAACTAGAACTGAACTAGAACTGAACTAGAACTGAACTAGAACTGACTAGAACTGAACTAGAACTGAACTAGAACTGACTAGAACTGTACTAGACTGAAACTAGAACTGTAACTAGAACTGTACTAGAACTGAACTAGAACTGAACTAGAACTGAACTAGAACTGAACTAGACTGAACTAGAAACTGAACTAGAACTGAACTAGAACTGAACTAGAACTGAACTAGAACTGACTAGAACTGAACTAGAACTGAACTAGAACTGAACTAGAACTGAACTAGAACTGAACTAAACTGAACTGAACTAGAACTGAACTAGAAACTAGAACTGAACTAGAACTGAACTAGAACTGAACTAGAACTGAACTAGAACTGAACTAGAACTGAACTAGAACTGAACTAGAACTGAACTAGAACTGAACTAGAACTGAACTAGAACTGAACTAGAACTGAACTAGAACTGAACTAGAACTGAACTAGAACTGAACTAGAACTGAACTAGAACTGAACTAGAACTGAACTAGAACTGAACTAGAACTGAACTAGAACTGAACTAGAACTGAACTAGAACTGAACTAGAACTGAACTAGAACTGAACTAGAACTGAACTAGAACTGAACTAGAACTGAACTAGACTGAACTAGAACTGAACTAGAACTGAACGAACTGAACTAGAACTGAACTAGAACTGAACTAGAACTGAACTAGAACTGAACTAGAACTGAACTAGAACTGAACTAGAGCTGAACTAGAACTGAACTAGAACTGAACTAGAACTGAACTAGAACTGAACTAGAACTGAATTAGAACTGAACTAGAACTAGAACTGAACTAGAACTGAACTAGAACTGAACTAGAACTGAACTAGAACTGAACTAGAACTGAATTAGAACTGAACTAGAACCGAACTAGAACTGAACTAGAACTGAACTAGAACTGAACTAGAACTGAACTAGAACTGAACTAGAACTGAACTAGAAGTGAACTAGAACTGAACTAGAACTGAAGTAGAACTGAACTAGAACTGAACTAGAACTGAACTAGAACTGAACTAGAACTGAACTAGAACTGAACTAGAACTGAACTAGAACTGAACTAGAACTGAACTAGAACTGAACTAGAACTGAATTAGAACTGAACTAGAACTGAACTAGAACTGAACTAGAACTGAACTAGAACTGAACTAGAACTGAACTAGAACTGAACTAGAACTGAACTAGAACTGAACTGAACTAGAACTGACTAGAACTGAACTAGAACTGGACTAGAACTGAACTTGAACAAAACTAACGATAGATGATATATTACATGATAAATTGGTATTGCTTTGTGAATTAAATAAATTGACTATTTCAAGCGTTAACTTCTTATCATTTACATTATTCCAGAACAGACCTTACTTTACCTTAAATTTAAAATTAAGTTATCGATAAATAAATAAATTTAAGTAGTAATTTGCATTTTATATAATAAGTTTTACAAATCTCAAAATTTCTTTAATAATATTAGTCTTGATAAATTATATAAAATATATAGATAATATCTAAAAAAATCTGAAATTCTAACTTACAAAATTATGCATATTGGAATGGCTTTGGTTGGTAGTAGCAAAACAAAAACTCAAAATTTTACTGCCTTAAGATACTGCTATGGTATTGCTATATGAAAAAAAAAAACTATAGTTTGTCTTACTCTCTAATGGTGTGGTGCTAACTTTAAAACTTCACAAACTAAATATGTTTTTCTCAACACTTTTCTTCTATTTTATAACTTTATTACTCTACTCTCTTAAACAACAACTGTCACTCTACTTAACACCACACAAATATTGCACCCTATTGCAAAATGGTTTAATGCAATGTATTTGTACAACAAAAAACTAAAACACTAAAAAATAACATTTTGTAATGTTGCGGTTGAAAACAAGTAGTAGATGAAGATTATCAATTGATAACAATTGATTGTACAAATTTACGATTTTTCGAATTTCTTCCCCAAATGTGTACGTATAGGATCGGTATCGTCCAATGATAGTGGACTCTGTTCTTATGCCCAACATGATACAAGCTCTTCATCATCTGTCTATACGGCGGCCGATTGTCGTTTATTACAACAGATTTCCAATACGGCTGCAACACGCAATATAAATACTCAATGTAGTCAAAGAGCTTTATCACCACATACCTTACACCCAGCAACAACAACAGTTACACAAACTGCAAATAGTATGAATGCACTACCACTGCCACAAACACAATCACAACAACAGCAACAATTACCACCACCAACATTGACCCCTCCACCTTACTTAATGCGTGGTCAAAATTTACAAATGTTTATGACAAACGGTGGCAATAATGCTGTTAATGGTGGAACACATGCACCACCGCCACAACTTCTACATAATAGACCGTTGTCGCCACCATTACAGCAGCCAAATATGCCACCTCCATATGCCACAGCGGCCGCTATGTTACATCATAATCATAGACATTCCAATATGCATGGTAAGTTTGAGAGGTTGGAGGACATAGCATTACCATTTTTTCGGGGTAACAGGACACAGAGTTATTTGGTGTAAACATAAAGATCAATAAAAAGGTATTTTCAAAGGAATTCATATTTTTTCTTCTTTTGGTATTTTTTGTTTTAGTTTTAAGGGTTTGATATTTGTTAATTATGTTAAATACTAGTTGAAACCAATCCGTGTTAACGGCCCTATTACTCTACTTATAGTGATCCAAATTTTAAAGTCGTTTGGTCCAGCGGTTTATGGGTAAATTTGTGTCTCGCGCTAATTGAAAACATTAACATGAGTTCTAGTTCAGTTCTAGTTCAGTTCTAGTTCAGTTCTAGTTCAGTTCTAGTTCAGTTCTAGTTCAGTTCTAGTTCAGTTCTAGTTCAGTTCTAGTTCAGTTCTAGTTCAGTTCTAGTTCAGTTCTAGTTCAGTTCTAGTTCAGTTCTAGTTCAGTTTTAGTTCAGTTCTATTTCAGTTCTAATTCAGTTCTAGTTCAGTTCTAGTTCAGTTTTAGTTCAGTTCTAGTTCAGTTCTAGTTCAGTTCTAGTTCAGTTCTAGTTCAGTTCTAGTTCAGTTCTAGTTCAGTTCTAGTTCAGTTCTAGTTCAGTTCTAGTTCAGTTCTAGTTCAGTTCTAGTTCAGTTCTAGTTCAGTTCTAGTTCAGTTCTAGTTCAGTTCTAGTTCAGTTCTAGTTCAGTTCTAATTCAGTTCTAGTTCAGTTCTAGTTCAGTTCTAGTTCAGTTCTAGTTCAATTCTAGTTCAGTTCTATTTCAGTTCTAGTTCAGTTCTAGTCCGGTTCTGTTATTTTTTCGCCAAAAATTTCACCAATAATTAATATTTTCACTAAAAGTCCAATTTTCACTAAAAATTTAAATTTTCAGTGAAATTTGAAATTTTCACTAAAGTTGAAATTTTCACTAAAAATTGAAATTTTCACTATAAGTTGAATTTTCACTAAAAGTTGAGATTTTCACTACAAGTTGATATTTTCTTCATTTCTAGTTCAGTTCTAGTTCAGTTGTAGTTCAGTTTCTAGTTCAGTTCTAGTTCAGTTCTAGTTCAGTTCTAGTTCTAGTTCAGTTCTAGTTCAGTTCTAGTTCAGTGCTAGTTCAGTTCTAGTTCAGTTCTAGTTCAGTTCTAGTTCAGTTCTAGTTCAGTTCTAGTTCAGTTCTGTCTAGTTCAGTTCTAGTCAGTTCTGTTCTAGTTCAGTTCTAGTTCAGTTCTAGTTCAGTTCTAGTTCAGTTCTAGTTCAGTTCTAGTTCAGTTCTAGTTCAGTTCTAGTTCAGTTCTAGTTCAGTTCTAGTTCAGTTCTAGTCCGGTTCTGTTATTTTTTCGCCAAAAATTTCACCAATAATTAATATTTTCACTAAAAGTCCAATTTTCACTAAAAATTAAAATTTTCACTAAAAATTTAAATTTTCAGTGAAATTTGAAATTTTCACTAAAAGTTGAAATTTTCACTAAAAATTGAAATTTTCACTATAAGTTGAAATTTTCACTAAAAGTTGAGATTTTCACTACAAGTTGATATTTTCACTAAAATTTGAAATTTTCACTAAAAGTGGAAATTTTCATTAAAAATTTAATTTTCACTAAAAATTTAAGTTTTCACTAAAAACTTAAATTTTTACTTAAAATTAAATTTTAAAAAAATCAAAATTTCACTAAAGATTAAATGTTTTGAGAAATATTTATGATTTTTAAAAAGAATTAGTTTTTTTTTAGGATTTTTAAAAGTTAGATTTTGTGTCTTGTGAGAGAGGAACCGTTACTAAAGTAGTCACTAGTTTTGAATTTTGATTGTTTATATAAAATTAGTTTTATTTATACTTTTTATGAAAATATTTATAATTTGTTTTATTTATTTTTATTTAATTTTCCTTTTTTTGTTTTTAATTTAATTAATTAACTTTTTTTTATTTATTAGAACTTTTCTTCTGAATTTCTTTTCTTTCCCCCCATAAAGGTGCTGCTGGTTGCCCCATATGTCCTATGCCACCACCGATGAACCAATAAATAAAACCAATAACAATTTTTTATATATAAAATGAATATAAAATGGTAAGTTTTGTTAAATTTTTTAATTTATAGAAAAATAAATAATTTTTTTTTTTTTTCAAATTTCTTTTTATCTAGTTAATGAACAAAAAAAAATATTGCCAAATTGATGTTTTTTATTTAAAAGAAAAAAGTTATATATTAAATTAAAAAATAAAACAAAAAACATAAAATAAGGTTGTGGAGTAAAATGTTTTTAAACGCATAAATTGTGTAAACATAATAATGAAATGTTAAATGAAGGATTTTCTTTTTTTTTCGATTTAACGCTTTAAATCCAACAAATAATAATCTGCAGGCGGACCTTTTTGTCCTCAGACAATTTTCTATTTACTTTAAATGGATCTTATATTTACTACTTTATACTCTCTACTACTCTTATATAGTTATATACTGTTTATATTAAGAATTTAATTTCTTTTTTTGGGATATTATCATGTAAAATATTTAATTACTTTTATTAGTTTTAAGTTTTAACTGGAAAAAATTTAAAAAAAAAAATAATATACAGCCAAATTTACAAAAAAAAATCAAACTAAAACCAACAAAAAATACTACTTAAAATTTACCAAGAAAAAAACTATAAAAAGACTTACAAAATATGTACAATTTTTTATTATTATTAATTATAATGAATTCTTAAAACCAACTCTCTATTTTTTTGAAAACCTCTAAAAAAACTTTAATAAAAATTTGAATTTTTTTAATAAATTATAAAAAAATAACTCGAATCATCAGGCTATATATACATATATTTATAATAACTGTGTAAACTAAAGACAAGTATTAATTTAAGTTTTTCTCCTTCCCCTTAAAAAAAAACACATAATGAAAATGAAAGCAATTTTCCAAATATTCAAAACAAATACATAATATAGTAGAATTATTTATAAAACATAAAAAAAGTATTTATAATACAAATCAAACACACATTTTGTATATTACTTACACTTCTCTTACATTTAATTTTGTTTCACACCAGGCCTGGAAAATGGAAATTTTGATATACATATTTACTAACTATTAAACCAAAAATATAACTTTTTGGGTTTTGAAGTACTAAACTAATTTGTCGTTAAACCATGGACTTACTATAGACTGTAGAGTAGACTACAAAATAGACTATTCACTAGACTACAGACTAGGCTATAGACTAGGCTATAAACTAGACTAAAGACTAGACTATAGGCTAGACTACAGACTAGACTATAGACTACACTATAACTAGACTATAGACTAGGCTATTGATTGTACTATTGACAAGACTGTAGAATATACTATAGACTAGAATATAGACTAGTCTACAGACTAAACTAAAAACTAAACTATAGACTAGGCTATTGACTAGACTATAGACTAAACTATGGTCTTGATTATAGACTACACTATAGGTTAGACTATAGTCAGACTATAGGCTAAACTATATAATAGACTATAGACTCGACTATAGAATACACTATAGACTAGACTATAGTATAGACTATAGACTAGACTATAGAGTAGACTATAGAATAGACTATAGACTAGACTATAGAGTAGACTATAGAATAGACTATAGACTAGACTATAATATAGACTATAGACTAGACTATATAGTATACTATAGACTAGACTATAGAGTATACTATAGACTAGACTATAGAGTAAGACTATAGAATAGACTATAGACTAGACTATAGTATAGACTAAAGACTAGACTATAGTATAGACACAGACTAGACTATAGAATAGACTATAGACTAGACTAGACTATAGTATAAACTATAGACTAGACTATAGTATAGAATATAGTATAGACTATAGACTAGATTATAGACTAGACTATAGACTAGACTATAGACTAGACTATAGACTAGACTATAGACTAGGACTATAGACTAGACTATAGACTAGACTATAGACTAGACTATAGACTAGACTATAGACTAGACTATAGACTAGACTATAGACTAGACTATAGACTAGACTATAGACTAGACTATAGACTAGACTATAGACTAGACTATAGACTAGACTATAGACTAGACTATAGACTAGACTATAGACTAGAACTATAGACTAGACTATAGACTAGACTATAGACTAGACTATAGGACTAGACTATAGACTAGACTATAGGACTAGACTATAGACTAGACTATAGACTAGACTATAGACTAGACTATAGACTAGACTATAGACTAGGACTATAGACTAGACTATAGACTAGACTATAGACTAGACTATAGACTAGACTATAGACTAGCTATGACCTAGACTATAGACAGACTATAGACTAGACTATAGACTAGACTATAGACTAGACTATAGACTAGACTAGACGAGACTATACTAGACTAGTAGGACTAGGACTGTAGACTAGAGTATAGAGTAGACTATAGACTAGAGTATAGAGTAGACTATAGACTAGACTATAGACTAGACTATAGACTAGACTATAGACTAGACTATAGACTAGACTATAGACTAGACTATAGACTAGACTATAGACTAGACTATAGACTAGACTTTAGACTAGACTATAGACTAGACTATATACTAGACTATAGACTCGACTATAGACTAGACTATAGACTAGACTATAGACTAGACTATAGACTAGACTATAGACTAGACTAAAGACTAGACTATAGACTAACTAAAGACTAGACTATAGACTATACTATAGACTAGACTATAGAGTAATCTATAGACTAGACTAGGTACTAAAAAAGCCGTGGATATCAAAAAGTACTAAATTTTCCATGCCTATTTCACACTCAAAGTCACTTTTAAATATTATTGAACAAATTTTGTATAATTTATTTAATTAAGCTGCATTTCATTTACCCACATACATCCATTTCCTTCATCAACTTTCTCAACCCATAACGTAAATATATTTGAACTATTTTGCTATTTTTTTTGTATTTATATATCACTCTTACATATAAAATTTCTTAGTTAAGAGGGACCCATAATAACAATTAATTTTTACTCATAAGTTTTATTCAGCTTTTTCTCTTTGTATAAATTTAAAAATATATATCAAATGAATAATAAATATTTACTTTTATAATATTAAAAAAGAAAACTTTAATTAAAACAAGTTATATGGAAGGATAATGAAAATTATGAATTATCTCTTTAGTTTAATTAAAACATTTTGCAAAAAAACGGCAGCTTAAAAGAGGTTAAAATTATTAATTGGTTTATAAATAGCAAAGAAGTATAAAAACATTTCATCAAACTTTGTACGTAAGGAAAATTAGTGTTTTGAAATATGTTCTAAAGTTTGCTGTAATGATTTTTGCAGTTTCAAAATTTATAAAAAAAAATATATTTTCATATCATTCTTTGTACTAGTTCAGTTGATATATTAATATAATTCTTTATTTCTAGAAAATTAACTTAAATTTTTTTTAACTAAAAGATGTAATTATTAAAGTTATTTTTATTTAATCTGTAGTGTAGTCTACAGTTTTCTATATATTTATAGTCTAGTCCATAGTTTTGACTATAGTCTAAAGTTTAAACTCATTTAAATATAGTCCAGACTGTAGTCAGGTCTGGACTATATTTGACTATAGTCTTGACTATGGTTTGACTATAGACTGGACTATAGTCTGGAGTATAGTATTGTCTATAGTTTGACAAGACTCTTAACTATAGTTGACTATAGTCTGGACTATAGTTTGACTATTAGTGTGGACTATAGTTTGACTATAATCTGGACTATAGTTTGACTATAGTATATGCTATAGATTGACTATAGTCTGGACTATAGTTTAACTATAGTCTGGACTATAGTTTAACTATAGTCTGGACTATAGTTTAACTACAGTCTGGAGTATAGTCTGGAATATAGTTTAACTATAGTCTGAAGTATAGCCTGGACTATAGGCCGACTATAGTCCTTTTACTTTTCCTTGAAAGTAAACAGTTTTAGATCAAACACTTTTTTCCAAATATAACTCTAATAATTACGTCTTTTTTGTAAAGTTTTATTTAAAATAATTAAACTACAAAACAAGAAAAGGAATTATAATATTTAGAACCTTTTTCAAACTTAAAATTCCACCTGAAATAGAAAAAAATTAACCTTTTAAGAAGAGTCTTGGTAAAACAAACCCTTTCTTAAACAAATTTCTTAATTTTGTTATTGAAAGAGGAACTAAAGCGTTACAAATAATAGGGAAATGAAATGTTAAGGACAAATTAAGAAATTCAAAACATAATTAAAATAAATTTTAAACAAAATACAGCCAAAAAGAGTTATATATAAAGTTTTAACGAAATATTAAAAAAAAAAATTATATAAAAAAGTTAAACAAAAATGTTATAAAATGTACATTTACACCCCTTCCCCCCAAAAAATACATTTAATTTTTATATAAATAAATATATTTATTAAATATTTATAAAAAAAATAACAAAATATGAACAAAATAAATGTAAAAAATTTATATATAAACAATAAAAGGTTTTCAATAATGTTTTTTTCTTTTTAATAATTAATAAATAATAATTTTATAAATAAAATATCAGAAAAAGAATAAAAGTTTTTTTTTTTAACTATAAAGGAATTGAATTCTTTATCATTTAAATAAGAAACAAATATCATTTACATAAAATTTTTTTAACATAATTTAGTCATAATTAGTTTAGTTTATTAACAAATAAATTATTAATTTTCATAAAATTCATTCACTCTCTACAAACAAAATTGTATATTTTCTAACATTAACAAATCAAATTATAATTTAAATATTATTTACTTAGTTAATAATGTAAATTTTATAAATATTTCCTAAAATAAGTTAAACTCTTTATATATAATAAAACTTTTTTAAAATATTTTTATTAAAATATTATTTTCTCTCCTCCCCCTTAGAGTATAAAAAGCTGCCAAAATCTTCTTTCTTTTTAATAACATAAATTATTCATAAAAAAAAAAAGAAACAACAAAAAAAATAAATTTATTAATGTTATTTATGCATGTTAATGGTATTAAAATT